TTAAATCTGTTACAATTATCAATGAATCCTATCTCTCTTTGGCCTTCGAAAGACTTTAAAATATTTTTAATATAAGTATTTATCCTTTAAGGTCAGTCTGAAAACAGCACCTGGATAATTTATTTACATTAAGTTCAACATTGCATTCCTACTATAATTGAGTGCAGTCAAACAGAAGTCGCTAGTTTCATTAAAATTATTAAAAATTCTATCTTTGAGATCTTTATGAGATAAAGAATATGAAAGGATTTGTTTGTAAAAATACCTTTAACTGCGATGCCAGTAATAAAAAAGTATTTATTGTGGTATGCAGCTCCAAGTTCGATCTACACATTTAATAACTTTCCTAGGGTTATTAGAAATTTTGCTGAGAAACTGCAAATTGTGAATTAAGTCTACTGCAATTAATCTAAACTATTCCAGCTGCAAATAAATCGTTCATTAGGAATTAAATTGCAAAGCCTAATATTTTGATCATTCAAGGTATTAATATATCATTTTATAATGTTTTTTGCCAGATATTACCCGATGGTGATATCAGATGACTTTCTCTACGATGAAGGATGTTGTTTTACTAAATTATCCCCAATAAATGAAATCTTATTGTGTGCAAAATTCTTCATAATTGATATATTTATATCCATGAAGTTGAAATATTACGCAACAGTAACAATAAAATAAAAGAATTGACTTTAGTACAGTTATTGCAAGTTAATGCTAATCCTATTTAATTCTACATACACAATAAAAATCTGATATAATTTTCTAAGTGTATGTCAGGTCAATTCCATCGTCGTCTACAAGTTAATTTCTACAGCAGTAATCCCATAACATATACTATTACAACTTTATTTCATGGCTATCCTGCAAGTTCTGAATTTAATAATTAAGCTACTAACTTAATCTAGACAAATCTGCTAGAATATCCTTTCATTTCCTTAGTTACCAACTAATCTGTCAGTTCAATTTATTCTTATACACCATCCAGTAAAGAAAATTTATACCTCCAATCAAATAAGGTATACGTAAATTCAATTCTTATTGACTTATTTTATTTTTTAACTTAATTCCTTAATAAAGAACCCTTTCTGAATGAAATATTCTATTAATTAAGGACTAGATTTATCAAAACAAACTAATTAAAAGATATTTTCCAGAGTAAAATTTGCTGTAACTTTGACTCGTAGTCCATCGTTTATTTACATAGATTTTAAAGCCTTGATGACGTAAGCAAGGTTTATACATAATAAAAATTAAAAATTTAAATGTATTGTTCGAAATTTTAATTCATAACGCTACTTTTTACGCATCATTTTATAATGCAAATTACGCTATAGTAGCTCAATCTTGAAGCTTTCTACCAAATTACCATACCGGTAATTAAAATTCCCTTACAGTTTAGCCATTTGTAGCTCAACTATCTACTCCTAAATTTCTATCAAAATTAGAACACGATAATTGTTTTCATTCGCTTATGTTAGCATCTGTTCTGCTGTCTAAAGTCCTAACGAGCATTCTATCTTGATGGGCCATAGTAGCCATTTATTACACCCTCTAAACTACATTATAGAACCTCAATTTTCTTCTGCCGTGATCTAAATTATGAATGATTCTAATATCAATTATTTCAGTATCGTTTCTGTTCAGAATGGGCAAACTAAAACAAAATACATCCGAGTACGTAAATAAAGGGAATTATTGTCATCGGTAAACTTTTATTATCATTATCTGTCTGAAAACAAGATCATAAACCCATAAGGGCTCATTTTATGTTATCAGTGAATTTAAATTTTTATTATCTAACTGAAAACAAGATCAAAAACTTGTCAATTCTCACTTGATGCCATTTTAATTATAGATTATCATTTTATCTACTTCAGGGCCAAAATATTAATTTTACATTCAGCATAAACAATAATTAATTAGATTATTTTCCTGCTCTTTAGCTATCGAATTCTTTATTATATATTTGAATTATAAACTTAATTTCGATTCCTTGTGCTTTGATCTTTAAACATCTTAAGTGAAAATGAATAAGAGGCGAAATGACAATAATTTATTACATTATTTACGACGATTCCCTAATTTTTCACTTAATTGATATCCATTCCAATAATAAAGTAGAAGAAAATTAATTTTCTCCTCGTTGCAAAATTATTTGTAGCATTGTCCATTTGTTTGTAGGATGGCTTGAAATATAAACTGTCAACCATGATCCTAATGATACAATCTACACCATTTAATACGATGTATTATCATTAAGTACATCAATTTCCTGATGGTGGATCTGATAATTATTTGCTTTCATGTTGATACCAAACAAGTTGGAGATGAATCCACTAGTTTAATTAATTATTCCTTCTTTATTTTAGTTGTTTTAATGAAATTAAATTTCACCCTATCTCAAAAATGAAAAATTTAGTTGTTTCTAATGCATAGAATTCATTTAAATTGCAGCTTAAATCAAAAGCAGTAATATCTAACTGATCATCCGCAATTTTTTCAGTATCTTAGAAGTCTAACTTGGATCTACTTTAAATTTTAGCTCTACTGGGATTGTAATAAAATCACTGTCCTTCTAAAACTTATTAATATATTACAATAATAAATGCTGCTATCAAAATACTCCTATGTCTATTTACACCTGGGATTAAATCTATAATAATAATCTAACTAGGGATTGTAAACGTAAAATGTTTTTGCTCCGGGTACCCGTTGTTGAATTACTAAATCGAATCCTCGTACTTCATAATTTTATTCCGCTTTCATACCATTCTTAGGACTATTTAAGCGTTCTGAGATGTAAAGCGAATATAACGATAATTAAAACAGTGATTTTCGGCTGACTTTGACGATTAATTATTGTAAGATAATCGTTGTTAATAACATAATTTCAGCAGTTAATAACTGATATTTTACGACAACGCGACAAATTGGCAAAGGTAAAATAAAGTTATTTGCCTCTGGTGCGCTAGATAATTTGCCAAATATTACGAGAACACCGACATCTGAGCTTGCGAATTAAGATCAGCCCCGGGATCAACCAACTCAAAATTTCGGCGGATTTAGGCGTTTCGGGTATCTTCGACTATGTCTTGACCATCTTCACAGAAGGTAACTAACTTTAAAGGAATTAGTGCCCTTTAAGTTACGTTCCTCGATGGCACCCAAAAATATCGTCGAAGTTCGCCGAAATTATGGTATTCAATACTCCATTTGAATACTTACGAACACAAAATTGTCCAGATTTTTCAATACCAATGATACGCGTGAATTAGAATATTTACCAGTCCTTCTGGTGGATCTAGCTGTATTAAATTATAGTACCAACGCAATTTTTAAACTGGCGACGTACATGAAATATTCGTAAATCATCGATTTTACCCCTTCCAACATAGGCAGTTTCAAACATTTAATTAATAAAATTTTGCATTAAATTAGATCAGAACCCAAAGCAACGTTACGATAGTAACATTACAGTAAACCGTACAGTTGAAATTCAATATTTGCCAGAGGATTGATAAAGATAATAATACTAAAAGACAAGAAACCTAACGTGGCATTTGTTACTGACAGCAAAACGGCTGCATTTTCTTGCGGTAATTTATTACATACAGGATATAAAACTAAGTGAGACATTCTACAATTGGATAAAAAGTCATTTTCTATCGACAGCTTTCTTCTCACGATAATACGTATTACAAATAAATAGTAATACCCACAAGCTCTCAATTCAATACACGTAGAATTCCGGGCCGCTTATCAATTCGCTTAATTAATTACTTGACTACGTGGCATTCAACGAGTTACATAGTCATAATAATTTTTTTTCTCGCGTAGCTCTGTAATGGAAGCAAATAGTGATTTTACAATTATTCGTATATGTTGCATTACAAACGCTATATTAAAACCGATTCCTAAATCATTAAACGTCATCTCTTCCTACTGTACTCGCATTAATGTGTTATCATTAAGCACTGTAAGCATAAATTACAAAAAAACAGACTTGAAATATTTTTAAAGGTGGAACAATTGCAACGACATCAAGCCAACTTCACAGATAGAATTATTACTTTCTTATTCTTCTCTAGATCGAAGAACTGTGACGATGGTCAAAAAACAATAGTGCCAATACTATAGATTGCAATATAACAATATATATATAGTTACTGAACGTAAATATATATATATATATATATATATGCCGTATGTATGTATGTATATATATATTTAAATATATATATATATAGATATATATGTATATTATGTATATCATCGTTAGTATGTGTTGCACCGGATTACACAACAATAACAAAAAATGGTCGTGTGCCATACATTTTGATACTCCGTAATTAAAGATTAAAATGTAAACCAGAAATCATAACCATTCTTACGCATCAAATAATAGTATAATACCATTATATACCTATGCTACAAAAGAGCAGTACAAGCGGACTAATAAACCAGCAGCAGATGATGGCAAGTAATATCGGTAAAGCAATTAAACTTTATAGAGAATTATTTACACATAAAACGTAATATTAATAAAGTTAACGTCTTCAGTGACTTGCGGAAACGATCGTGTCGCCTTTAGTAGAAACATCTACATTAGAAATATTCCACCCATTGATTTTGCGGTACAAACCTGATGAAAACTGTACATTACATGATCATACTAAGCAAACATAATACAAACTTAAAATTTCAACGTGAAATATAGAAAAAAATGTTCAGTGATGTCCTGCTTTCGTCACTCTAGCATCTATGCAAGCAAAATATAAAGTTTTTTCATATCTACTAATCTCTTGAACTTGTCATCAATATATACTGTACTTCCGAAGCATAGCAACATGATTGTCATTATCTGACATATTCAGCTAACTATCAACGCAATAATAATATCGCATGCTAGCTCCCTATGAATTACTTAATCATTCCAAATATCCAATAAGGTTATGGTTCAAATATTAATAAGTTTCTTCCAACTTTTTCAATACCAATTATAATTGCAGCTCATTGGCAATTTTAGAAGCTATGTTCTTAAAGGCTATTGAGGTTCCACTAATACGCTTGAAACGAACGCCATTAAGTGATAATCGTGGAAGTTTGCATACTTCCATCTCCCACTGCACCATACTATCGACGTCATCGTCTGCAGCGTAAATACAAAATAAGACGTAACTCTCTCGTTGCTCATAATTACAATTGTTAGCATCAAGAACTCGCTTAATTTCTATCATCATATCGTTCGGGTCTTTGGAACTAGTTGTTTTCATGCTCCACGTAAATCGTAAAGATCGTGGCTTTCCCGAATCATCGATCGAATTAGGAGTTGATCTAATTATCAAAAGTCAAGTAATATATTTTACTCAAAAAATTCATACACTATCGCTATCGGGCACCAATACACTCTTAATTTATACTCACTTTCTGGAAAACTTGGACGTTATTTTACTTAAAAGTGAAGAGGTACGTGCTGCTGAGTTATTATTGCCACCTGGGCTAGCAGCAGGATTGGGGTCCATAGGCGAAGGGCCGTTTGCTGACTGTTGAGGACGACGCTGCTGCCCAAAGTGAAATGTACTACGTACACTAGAATTACGTGGTCCAATTTTGCCTCCGGATGCTGAAGCTATAGTAACAGGATGTCTAGTACTCGACGGTGTTGCAGTACTGTATAAATTACGTATCAATATATTAGCGTCGAAAAAATTATTAAATTCCGCAAATAAGAGTGAATTCTTGCATATAATAAAATGAATACAATTGCATATCAAGCAAACAATGCACCTAAATCGCAATACAGATTGCAAGAACGTATAGCTTAAATAGTTGTCAATACCTTGGTCGTTGAGTATCTAATGATGTAGGGTTATGGGGAACCTTTCTTACATTAAATCTATCTTTCGCCGTGGATGGGCGCGTACTAAAAGAATTTATAAAAATTCAATATCTATGAACTTGATAATTTTACAATTGGCAAATAAAGGCGCAGACTTACCTTTCACTTTCAACTGTCGGCGGTGCTGCCCCATCAGCTGAACGTCTCTCTCCGTAAACATACGTATTACGCCGATGTAAACCAGCTTGACCGTTATTTGTCTTTACATACAAAGATAAAGATTATATTCATTATTTTGTAAATTCGGACATGCTACGTTTAGATACTTACCCTATTTTTATGCTTTAAACGTGGGATTTCGCTTCGAGGTTGAGCATTATCGGTTTTACGTGGAATCGAAGAACTAGGGCCAGCTGGTACTGGTCGAATACCAGCGGGAGATAGTAACGGTGCAGCTGATCGGCTAGGACTAGCAACATTTATTATGTGATCTTGAGTTCTATTAATAGATGGCGAAGCTGTTGCTTTTGTAACAGATTCTCTAGCTTGTTGATTCTTTTCACGTCTAACGCGCATACTGGCATTATCACCATGAGAAGACCGACGAGGTTTTTCTCTCATACTTGAAGATGCTGTCGGTCTTGGACGTGACTGAGGTAGGCCGCTGGTAGGGTCTGCTGTAATCGGTCTACTAGGAGTGACATAATTAGCCGATGGTTCCGTGTAAGTCTAGCATATACAAAAAGATTGCAGGGTTAACAATCACATATTAAATCATTAAAACCAACAATTTTGTTTTGATACAAATTTAATTGTAATTACCAAATCAAGCTAATTATAAGCGGCATTGCCACAATTTAATAACATCATTTACTCATAAAGTATTAGACTTTATAATTTCGCTCTATAGTATATTCAATACATACCGAGGTTGGTTTTCTGCCTAATAATAAGTATGTGGCCATCAGATCATCGTACTTGCAGTTAGATATTGCACCGACTACTTCTTCCCGATTAAATCCCATTTTTTCCATAATATCTGTAATTAGAAGTATGCTGTTTAACTACAAAGTCAAGTATAATCATTGTTCTGCATTTGATGCTTTGAAAATATCACATTGACTATTTTAATTACTAATTTATTATTTACTTCTAGTTTCTAGAGAATTTACAGATAATACATGACATACCTATTCTTTTAAAATCCAATATAAATTCTGGTTCTATGAAAGGCTTCATTTCTCCATCATCAAATCCATTATTAATCCATTTATCACCCATTATTTGCTAAAGTTAAAACAACACCTTTAAATGACAGATCATTTGTACATAAATTCATACTTTTACGAAATAACTTACGTCCAATTGACTACGTTTGCATGGATTTAATATTAAGAATCGTTTCAAGAGATTTTCACAATCTATAACAATAATGACAGTCATTGCTATTTGTTACTTGTTTGTCAACATAGTATCAACATTAATAATAGAATGAAGTGATTTAGGTCTTCTAGTATCGAGTTTAAATCATCATACCTGTTGACATAAAATAAGGAATACGATATTTTCCTTTCAATACCCTTTCTCTTAGTTCCTATGATAAAATGAAAGACCTTAAAGTCAATACAACACGATTGACTATTTTCTCATTTACAATAACAATATACCTTGAGATTTTGACCATCAAAAGGAAGAGAACCACTCACTAAAGTATATAATATCACACCAAGACTCCATACGTCCACTTCAGGCCCATCGTATTTCTTTCCTTGAAATAATTCAGGCGCCGCATAAGGCGGACTCCCACAAAATGTATCCAGTTTATTACCGGGAGTAAATTCGTTACTGAAACCAAAGTCAGCTAGTTTGATATGCATGTCTCCATCAAGGAGAAGATTCTCAGCCTATATAATTCATTACAAAAGACTAAAATTACATTCCTGCTGATAATAACTGATGACGTAAAGCATCTCAAAAATGATTGAAATTTTTTACTTTTAAATCTCTGTGGATAACACGTTTCTGATGGCAATACTGAACAGCTGATACAATCTACAATTATAGAATGATATTTAGCCATAGTAAAAATCATTTTAAAGTTAGACGAATTAAACCTAAGCACCGTAAGGTATTAACGATAGTAAATAAAGAAGTTATACTGACTTGTCTAAATTTTGAGCGTGCTTCTTTTTCTTTCATGCGACCATGAGTAACAAGATAATCAAATACTTCACCTTAATAAATTCACGAAAAACGATTTCATTAGTAGCCATTATAGCAAGTTAGACAGAAGGATTCAATAACATTGACTCTACATCTAATACGATCAAATTTTAATTCTTACCACCACTAGCATATTCCATAATTAAATATAAGGTCGTTTCATTATCAATTACTTCAAATAGTTTCACTTAAAAAAAAGGGGAAGGAAATTAACAATCTGCAATTGTATTGCCGCAGAAGAGTTTAGATTAATTTCATGTAAATACAGTACAATGACTCGGTTAATAAATGGAAATATGATAAAACTACCTCACAACAAAGTCAACATTAGCGTGAATTTAGTATAGTTATTTTAGGGCTTGACACCGTGGGTTGAGTACGTTCGAGAACATCATTTTTTAAAAAAGACTACACTAAGACACACATAATGCAAAATAACTTACCGATGTTAGGATGATCTAAACATTTCATAATTTTAACTTCACGATACAACTATTTAAAAGATAAGAGAAGGCGATCACAAATTTATACAAGTAAATAATTTCGTCAGGATGAAATCTTCCCTAGCGCTTAACTACAAGAAGAAATTAAATAAAAGAGTTTTACTAACTAAAAGATGGTCATTGCTCTGTAAATACTGTCAATAAGGTAGAAGCTTCGAAATGATAAACCATCGGTACAAATCCATGCCTTTTACATATAGTATATATTTCGCGTACTTAAGTTAAATTAAGTAAGTTAACCGAATATCATGGCAATACTTTAAAATATTTATTTCGAGTAATAAGATGCACGTGTAAACGATGAAAAAAAGATTTTTCTCGGTTTAGTGTTTACTGTACTATCAATTCGATTTTTGTTGTAGATTTTAAACGCATATATTACATTTCCATTCAACTATGAGTCATTGCCACATTTATTTAAGTACAGATACTGTACCTTAGGCTATGATACTACTCTGACAGGGACTACTAGAAACAGTCAATTCATTTTTACTATTTAGTAGTGTTTGCTTCTGATATAATATGCAGTGTAGGGTATAAACTTATACTACAGATGCAACACCCCATCAAGCATACAATATCAATAGGTATAGTATGTAATCACATATGCGTACTTAAAGTTTTAAGATAACTTTGGACACATAAAGTATTAACTTTCTTAAAACTAAAACATGTACAGTACATTAAAGTCTCGATATCATGTTTACGGTTATTGGAAACAAGAAAACGGTACATCATTTGCTTGCTAAATAAACAACCCAAACCATATTGTCAATTTAACTTTAAAATACTCCTACTTTTTTTTTAAGCTTGACCGGTTACAATGTGCATAATACAATAAATAAATTCGATTGATAATCACGAGTATATCTGTATTTCGAAACGATGACGGAAATGGTCAGTAATAATAACTAAATTTTTCATGAAATGCTTAAATTCTAACATTCTCGTTCGATTTAATCTACACCACCGGCAGATTGTTCGATAAGTCGCGTAGCATTTTTTTACAAAGGGAATTATATCATCCTGTATGTCAATGAGCAAACTACACGCGACATTAGTGTTAAATGAATTAGCCAAAAAATTTCTTGGCTATATAAAATGTGTACTTCGAAATCAAGGAAAGAAATTTTGTCGTAAAAAAATTTATACATGATACCAGTTTTAATGGATTGCAAGTAAGTCGTAAATATAATTACTTATAGGGACATTCGACAATTGCACTATGATTCCCATTTTTTTAAAAATTGCAAATGCTGTACAGTACTATGTATGGTATTGAATGTTGTATATAACTTGTTCTTCAATGTAACTAAATTATAACTATCAATGAATAAGACTAAAAAGAAATCTGTCGAAGAGAGTAACAACAATCTAACTAACGATGAAAAAATAAATGAAACCTAGGAAGATTTGATCACCTCCTTTATAAAAAATTATTAGCGGCTCTGTTAATTTGATGTAGGTCTTGCACAATTACAGTACAACATTGATCATCAAGCAAATTGACTACGACAATCCTTCAAGCTATCTAAATGTCATAGATCGATATATTAAAATCTTATGCGAAGCATGTGCTCACTCTTTAACAGAGATATATTTCTTATGCATAGTTATATATGTCATATATAATATACGAGTAATAATCATAATGAACAGGTAAAATAGTAATCAATAATGTAATCCAAGCAAATTCTCAATAACTTTTTTAGGATTTACTATTGCGATAAGTACGTATACTGTAACGCAGTTTAACCACCTTCTACGGCTGCTGATAATTGATAATTTATAATTCTAATTGAAAACAAACATCGTGCCAAGAGTTGGATCTAACGTGGTCGTAAATATCTTTTTATCATTTGGCTATAGACATGGTGTTAACATCAGGCGTTATGACTTACTTCAAAATCAAAAAACCAATCACCGATTGCCAAGTGGTAATGTATGGGTATACTGTACAGTATTAACAATAATGGGTATGCTGTATAGCAAAAATTAATCTCTTATGTCTATCGTTTAGAATTTTTTTCTCTCTTATCAGAGCGTTAACAATAACTGTCAAATCTTCATATTTTGTCATTTACGAAATGTTGACTACATATCATAGAAAAATTTGCAACCATGATAAGATCAGTTATTTTTTGGTGTCGTCAATAGTCGTTAGAGGACATTGTAATGATTTCAGTTCAGTTATTCATGTATATTCTTGAGATGCTTTAAGACATAAAGACAACTCGAAAACTTTTGGTGACGACCGAGCGACAATTAGCACTCGCTACAGAACGAATATGCTAAAGTTGCACCATCAGTCAGATCGTATACCGTAAAATTAGCGGTGTTATTAAAAACGAAAAGGGGCAATAACAATCGAAAAATAAAAATAAACAACGTCGCCGAAACAAAGTAAGCAGGAATGGCTTAATACGCTTACTAAGCTAAAAATATAATCGGAGTTAGCGATCATTACATACCTTTTGTAAACCGCTAGCATTCATTTGAGTCTTGTCAATAATTTTTATGGCGACCTAAGTAAGCAACACCATTTTAAGTAATTTTGAAATGTCGTGAATATGATACCGTAAACAGCAACACTTTAAGGAAAGACTTATGCGTGTGTGCGTAGTTATAAGCGTTGCATATATAATTCGGATAAGAGTCATACAAAATTTAGAATTAAACGTATCTAGGACTGCTTTTGTAATTCAATTATACTGCAAGTTTGCCCGTAAAATGTTTAGAATTTACTTCTTGAAATACTGAATTAATCTAGCATGACGACACTAGGTAGGATATCTTAGTATGGTATTTTGAACGCATGCAATACAGTGTGGCGACTGTATGCGGAGCGTTCACTGAGTTCAATAAATTTGAAAAAACTACCACAACAATCATCACAAGATCAATGCTTTGCATTACATGATGTTGAATCTTTATACAATTAGTTATCTGATTGTAAATCAAATATTTTTTATGGCGTTCATCATTTTGTTTATTTTACTGTACGATTGGCAGAATTGGTGGTGCGGCGGTAACGTTGCAATTGATCCTTACCTCTCTACCTGTCGGCAAGTGTCGGGCTAACTTGACTTTGGCAAAATTGCCTTTACCGATGGTTTTCAATAACTTGAAATTACCAATAATTGTCCCATCTTCATGTGATGGCACATGCTGAGAGCGATGCATGGATTGTCGCGCAGACTAAGAAATGAAGATAAACAGGTAAAACTTTAAACGATGTTTACTATTAACAGTAGCAACATGAATTGAGCGTTTTATTAAACTGGAAAATGAGTCACTGAGTACAAACGAGAGCAGTTAGTATAGACTATGGAAGAAATTAATTTTTATGCAAGCCAAAATGAGTAGCGAGAGTAAAAAATCAATATCTCTGGCTTCTACGGTGAATATTAACTGAATCTAGAGTTGTGATAACTTTATGACTACTTGTACTTGCACTATACCGGTGGTAATCACTCAAGATATTTTGGAATGGCTAAGCCCAGGCGTACAGTACAGTATATACAGTAGTAAATATCGAATAAGATACGCTCATGCCTAGAGCGTGCCTGTTACAAGACCACATTACTTTTGCGATCGTTGTTGCCCAACCAGAGCCATGGCAGGCCGTTACAGTATGTATTGTAGTCTTCCTTTTACAACTGGCTAAGTTAGGTCCATCATGCAAGCATTGTTTGTAAATCTTTACAATTACTTATGTATGTTCATGATATTGAATCATGTTCTGTTTATGGAAGTTAGAGAACAAAAGTGAAATGATAATTTACCATACTGATGACCGACATGGTCGTACTAGACGAATTATCAATCCTCAAGTTTAAAGTAAAGTGCTTATAAAGAGCAGGATCATCCAATTGCTATACTCGAGTATACTACTGGAGAAGGAATGTGGTATTACAAAAGCGCGTTAGGAATCTTTTCGTTTGCAAAGTCGATCAGTGAGTCATCTATTCATTGTATAGGAAATCATCAATCGGTTTGGGTCAGTTCGCCATATCCTATCGCTAGCAAGTATCGAGGTTAAGGGGATTATCCTACCGTAGAATTCAATAAGTCTACTAATGAAATTTAAGCCAGTACAATATTCTTCTTCAAAAAGATAATTACTGAAGGCGATACATATCGCCTTTTATAACGCGATAGGCGTAAAGCGAATATAAAAAAAGTTTACAAATACTGCAGCAACATCCACTACATGCGCTGTTTCAATACAGTGCAGTACAGTATTACTGTGCTGTTTTCTGCTCTATGACAACAACGCATTCCTGTATTGGCTGAAAGAGTACTAATCCGGTCTTTAGTAAAATAAAATAAAAAATGCAAAAATAGAGTAAACTGTTTTACGCATTGACTACGCGCTAACAGTCAACTATTAGTAATGGTGGACAATTAAAGATCAACTGGTGAAGGCAATTTCCAATTTGCTGTATAGTATAAAGGTAAAGATTTGAATGAACGACTGAAGAAGAGAACATATCATTGTATAAACGAAGTCAATCACCAAAGTCGAGAAAGAGGCAAGTCAGACTTTCAATGAAGAATACGGGTAGTGTGTCAGTCCATGACAGCATACGTTCAGACTACAGTAAGTATACCCAGGAAATCGTGCAAATTTGTACTGTATATCTATTCTCAGGAAATATGGAAAAAAGATTGGGAGATATGTTCTCCATTCATTGAACATCGCAAAAATGACCAATTGCTGACAGTATTGCAATAGAAATTTGCATGTTACATTTTGGCAATGATTCACTCTTCCAGTGTAGGCCTTCCGTTCTCCTCACTGAGATATTCCTGTTATTTTGTTGATTCTGTCGTTTACAGTATGATAACGGATGATAGAAATGGCCCATTTTCTTTTCAGCAGACTGTACTATCAAAACACTGTGGGGGTAAAGTAAAGTCAAAGACAAGCTGACATTACCAAGAAGGGCCTTGAGAGATTGAAATGAACTTCAAAGTCAATCTCCTCCAATAGCTCTGCCAGTGAAAATTAAAAATCCATTTTTGCGGGGCCGCTTTTTACTCCATTCAAGTAGAGAAACTGCAAAGAAAGTTGCAATTCAACTAGACACGTCGTCAAGACGAGTTTGACCCGTACAATCGTACATGTGCACTTCAAAGGATAAGGCAGGTGTAGCGTCAGTACGTACAATTACGTGGTTGACGATCACCATGCTCGAACGAACGAACCAACCAGGAGCAAGGAAAAGAAAACGAATGGTGAAATCATTTATCAACGTCTGAATGACGCCGATATTGGTCACACAATCCATACTGTACTGTAATGGAAAATGGCGTGTGGTGGCACAGCGTGCTTTGTACAGTCAGTCGGTAGTATCGAACTGTCACCCCTTGTCACTACCACTGTTTCAACGTTGAACTATGATGGTCTCCTTACGGACAGCCCAACCATGGTTCACTGAACTAACTTGATCCTCAAACCTACTGTACTGTATCGCAGATTTTTTACTGTTTATTGATGATAACGGCATCCAGTCTACAGTACACTGTAGTACAGTACTGTACTGTACAGCATAGTATCCAGCGACGGGTTGAGTACGGAAACCAGCTGCTCGGTATCATGGACAGTAGAGGTAATGCACGATACAACTGCAGTATTGTATAGCTGTACGTTTCTGGAATACTAGGGCAAGTGTGGCGTCAGTAGTGGTAGTGTGACACGCCTGACTGTAACGTACTCCCTATGACTTCGTTTGCAAAGCGACGTCACCCTTGGTAGCCAGTGGAAGTTGTATGACAGCAAAGTATTGCATAGAACATCAAGTCAAGGCGATACAATGTCAACGGATAAATTTCCATCAAATCGACATGACGATTGACAAGCGATCAAAGCAATAAAAATGTAATTTCTTTTAAGCTCAATCGAAAGTTTTCATTCATTACTCACCCTTCCAGATTCGTTAACAGGCGGACGCGAAGACATAATGACGAGTTGAGTGAGCACAAGATTGAACGCTGATGTTGGACAGCGGTTGATCAATTCGATGAACAACTAGAAGGCAGCAGTCAACAACGCATGCTGCTGTAATTCACAGCACACCCAGGCAATAAATGGCGAAACGTTGTATAACGCTGTTAGAGAACGATTTGCCGATGACAGCAAATAAAATGTTGATTCTAAGTTAATTACCAATCGTGATCGGCTGTAATAGCGATAATAGCTAACTTCAACTGCATAGAACTGGCCAATGACAGTTAAATATGGCCGGCAGAATACACCAATGTTAGTCAACGTCTTTGATAGCAGTCAAGATAAGCGCTAAAATCAATCGTAATAGTTGGAAGTAATCTTCACTTGTGATCGAGTCGTTTTTCTTATGAAGAATATCTTGATACCAATGAGCATAGAATAGTAAATAGTATTATTGCTAGTCAATATAAGGCAGTTACGCTAGATGATATTCAATTGGAGATTATTCAATTTGCAACCTTTAATGGTTTTTCACGAATGGTACGCAGTATGCTACACTATCATAATCTTCAAGATCCTAAACGTCTTTCATCTGTTGAACACATCAAAGTACTTTCGAACTTGCCAAGGTGGTTCGTTGATGGAAAGTAGTCGTGTTCCGTTATTCACTGACGAAGTAATACAAATATTCTTCAATCTGACCAATTACGTAAAACTCCAAATGTTGGAAGTTTCGTGATTGTAAGCCACGAGCGCCTGGAGCTGTGCCTTTTTATCAAGCTTTTTCTAAGCTCGCGTCTTGACCCGTAGATTATGATGATTTAGTATTGAGTAGAATTTTCAACTTCAATTAGTAGAATGGTGGTGGAAGGAGAGCGCACTAGTGTACAGTACAGTCCACTCTACTCCACCCGACTGTTTAACGCAGTATCACCAAGCTAGTTGTTGTTGTTATTATGGTTCAGTACTACTGTTCTCTCCAGGAGTGCAGTTCAGTACAGTACAGCGTACTGTACACTGTACAGTACCGTGGCCCACTGCTACAGTGCACAGTACAAGTTCCACATTCTGTACTGTACACTGTACAAAATGACAATGTCCATTTGTATTACAGCAGCAGCTCCAGCAACGAGATATGAGTCATCAATGATGACCTACAATGTACACATCAACACATCGTGGATTGAACTGCGCTGAAGCAGGGAAAATGCACGATGTCCGTAGTGACTGGACGGTAAGTCCATCAACTACCTGTGCTAAAATACCTCTACTTTTATGCATTGCTAGTGGAAAAATACCATATCACAACCACTTTTTCTATAGTCGATATCGGCTACTATACTTTGTACAGTATTTCCCTTCCACTACCTTGTGCTCTACTGTACTGTACAGATGTGCGTCATTCAAGTCCTGTCTGATTCATTAAAAAAACAATCATTATTCTGCTAATTTGGGCTTTTAGCATAAATGGTGTACAGTATGCTAAACGATCAAGGCCAGTAGAATAATACACTACTACAATGGTACAATATTATGTCGTGAGTTGTAGACGACAACATTTGATCTACAGTAGAAGACAGCAAAGTACGACAGTATACAGTATAAAATGACTGCAATGAAGAAGCAACTGGACTGCCAATCAACATGTGGTGAATGATCACCAATCATGCATCATTCATAAAGCTTATTATCACTATAATAAGCGTTGATCATATGATACGATGATTGTTGAAATAATACAATCAAAAAACATACTGTGCAGTAGATTGAATTTATTGAGGACTAGCAGTGAGTGGGTTGAGAAGGAACCAAATGAAGGCCAATTTTTGGCTCATAGTCAAGACGCTGTGCTACTTGAACGCAGTTAATTAAATTATGATGAACTACAACAGCAAGAAGCGCTGTAATGACTCATTTTAATTGATGAATAATAATAAGATTGATCATGGCAGTCATCAATGGCCGCATACTGTATCTTGAAAGAAAATGCCTTGCATTGTCCCTACAATAGTACCACAGTGTATAGGAGTACACAAATACCATCTATAAAGTAAATAAGTAAATAGTGTTATCGCGCTGCATTATACCGCAGAATGACGTTTTGATTTACTAAGTGATTGTTCCAACTACTCCTGATTACACTCATCAACCAAAAGTTGAATGGTCTATGGCGCCTTAAGTCATCCTAGAAGAATATGCCTAAGCTACGTGCATGATTTCTGATACTCATCATCTTCATGAGATGAATCAAACCTGTCAGCAGAGAATGCTATAATAGCCCATGGATCTTCAATCATGATTCAATAAGAATTGATACGCATAATATAGATTGTAGCATACCCCTTTCCCAATATCACTCCTATCACAGCTAACATTACGTCTTGAAAAAAATTCCTAGTTGAGCATCAGAAAAGGCCACGCTACGCCTTGCTAACTAATCATGGACTGTACGGAATGATGTATTCTATTAGTAGAGTCTACTCGGTTAGATTGTATTATAACATTGAATGATTGTCATGTTAACCATGATAATGCTGCAACCAAAGAAATCCAAATAGAATAAAAATTCAAAAAAGGTTTTTTATTATTTATTATTTATTATTATTATTATTGTTATACTTGAGCTGTTGTACTTGAGTTAGTCACATCATTGTATATTGTAATTTTATCCCGCTTGATGTATTGCGCATTGTCATCAATTTGGCTTACGAATTCGATATGGAGAAGCCATAGACTGTGCGTATAAATAATTATTATTATTATTATTTACCGTCGTCTGCAGTTTGCTTATACTGTACGTAGTCGAGCTAACTGCAGAAAAAGTCCTTCATCAAGGCGAAAATACAACGAGTGCAGACAATCTGTCAAGAGTGCTAAGCAGCCATGACGTCATGAGGTTTAGGAGATGCAACCCAATTGCCCTCTCACGTTCCTGTACAAAATGGGGATGTTGTTGATGAGAATTAATTCAATTAGGCATGTTAAACGACCTACAGAAGCCAGCTAAGCTTTTCATCAAGTTGGTATTTTTTTTCAATGATGGTTTGGATTATATTATTGACTTGATCCGATGGCTCGCCACAAGATAAAATATTCGGTTTGGCTTTGCTTTGGCTTGAAGTCGGCCTAGCAGACTAGAGCTGAATCAATGATGCGGGTAGTAGAGTAGAGTATACGGCAGGTATTCAGAGCGTGCTACTGTATTGCAACATGTTATCATCAACTCTTTCCACTAGACTGCAGTAGTGGTACAGTATACCTCTGCGACGAATGTGCGTGTCTCGGTGTACAGTAGACCCTTCCCATTTCGACTAAATGTAAAGAATCCTATGCTGAAACGTCTCCAACGATGGTATTCACTTACCAAAACTCATAGACATAATTTCAGCTAATTCTATCAAGATTTTTGGAGATATTTCAGCATAAAATTCTAAACATGGAGTCAAAATCTGAAGAGTCTAGCGAAGTCTACAGTCTACAGTCTACAGTGTACGCTACTCTACAGTACAATCATCGTTTCTTTTTACTGTAGATGATAATAATAATAATAATAAATAATAGATGATAATAATACTACCCATCACCTACTTCAGTCAATTTATTTAGTCAAGCAGGAAATAGAATTGCAATTTTCAAGCTTTTCTGCAGCATTCTTGGATTATGTGGACTCTGTAAGAGGATGATGATCGGTTGAACTTGATATTGCAAGGCATGCATGCTCTACAGACGTACTGCAGTTCAGATTCAGAGGAAGATGCCATCGAACATAACAATACTCGCCATCAAGATCATCCTAAACAAGTGCAATCGAGTAAGGCAAATTTCTTCATTAAGGTTAATCTATCATCAACATGACATGATTGTGTAATGAATGTTCAAGAGTATCTGCCATACAAACGATACGAAGCTGATGAATGCCTAGAAATAGGATCATTTCGTTATAGTTGCTATAGCTAATCTGCAGGATTGAGGGACTCTTTTTTGAACTTGAAGTTAGATAATGTATTATACATAATAGACCACAAGATCAAAGTAAAAAAAGCATCTATTGATCTAATTTAATTTAATGATTATATTATTTATTGATCATGTTGAGCAGCTTGTAGCATGCACGATAAGTACTGTGTATTAATTTAAAAAATGAAAACGATTTCAATCAAATTCTATAGTCACAAGTTATCCTGGTTATCCTACGGTTTTTGGATGTAAGACTGATTATATTATTGATGAGCATTCAATCAACCGTCAGTACCATCGATGATCGACTACATATAATTATTTAGAAATGATAAATCATATAAATCACTATCGAGACACAAGTGTATAAAAATAACAATGGGCTAGTGCATAGACTTCTAAAAATTCGGTCTTTTTGAGTAGTCCATGGCTAGTGCAACTGCATACTCTTACAGAGAGTAATTCACAATGGATTAAATTGAATCGCCATCGTAGACAGTAAATTTTGTTATGCACCCAAGTATAAACCTAATTAAGTTGCATTCTATCTACTTTGCTATTTGCGTTGATCTTCAATACATCTTGACGTAGGAAATTGCCATCCAAATTTAACTCATTGCCGGATGGATGCTGTCAATCCTGCTCCTGCATTACCAACGCCAAAAGTTCCAGTCATTCGTCCATACATTTCCAAAAGGAAAAGAGGTGATGATGATATGCCATCAAACAACAACATCGTAAAAAAAGGTCCTCTAAATATACCGCCTAGTTATCAATCTGATACTAGCAACGACACAAATGTTGTCAATAGATTACCTAATAAAGTCAATGCCGTTTACTCAGAACATAAAAAGTGTGTCAATTGCATCCGATGGAACCCTAACCAGCATAATCTGTTATTATCTGCCAGTATGGATGGAACAATACGGGTATGGAATTATCCTCAGTGTAAAGAGAGCTTGCTATGTATTAGAAATCACTTTCAGGCAGTGAGATCAGCTTTATGGAGTATTGACGGTACTAGTATTCTATCTGGTGGATTTGATAAAACGTTACGCCTTACGGATGTAAACGCAGGTGAATTAAAATTTTAATGCCGTAATTATTTAAAGGTGATGCATTGGCTAAAAATGACACTTTCTGGTTATCAATGCTATTAAAATTTTTCATTATAGGAAAGGAAACATTACTGATACAAAGTAATCAGTTTATTACTGCCCTTCATTTTCATCCTGTGGATAACAATCTCTTCATTTCAGGTGGTTCACAAGGGGCTATCAATTGTTGGGATATTCGCTCTGGAAAAGTAAAGATTCCAATGCTTTTCTACTATCTTTTGACATTAGTTCACCTTTTTTGTACTTTTAATATACGTCGTCTATGCTATTGATGTAACATCACAGTACCAATTGTGTAAGACAAGGTATTAATGTTCTCATTTTGGGATTTATGTGAAGGCAATTCGAAACTACATAGGTACCTTTGGCCAATTGCAAGATTTCGCATTCTTAAATGGTGGATCAGAATTCTTTTCAGCTACAGACACGGTGCGTCGTAATTCAACCGATCGTGCTCTACTAGCTTGGGATTTTAAAACTGGAGCTATTCTCTCTAATCAAATATATCAAGTAAGTTCATCTAGTATAAGCTATTCAATTACGATATTGTTGTTCACTCTCATGTATACCTATAGAAATTGAATCTTTGATTCAGTTGCTGTTTAACTAAGTGATGGTAATGTATGCGTAAATCTCTTAATAGGAAGCATTTACGTGTACATGCCTGAAAGTTCACCCGTTTGAATCGACGCTCATTGCTCAATCAAACGGAAATTATATCGCAATTTTTTCAACCAAGCGACCTTACAAACTCAACAAGAAGAAAAGATACGAAGGCCATCAGGTAAGCTACCTGGATTAATAGAATATTAGTCTTAAATTAACGACACCTTACAAACAGGGAAACAGCTCATACTAGCCTACTGTATACGCAAAGTAAATACTTATATTTTTGTTATATGTGCTACGATTTAAATATAGGTATCTGCACACCGCATTGGCTGCGATTTTAGCCCAGATGGCACTATGGTCATAACTGGATCATCAGATGGCAACTTTTATGGCTATAGCTATAAAAGTAGCAACATTATTAAAAAAGTTGAAGCTTATACATGTGCCTGTGTAGACGTTGCGTTCAATCCTGCATTATATAGAACTGTTGCTACTTGTGGATGGGATGGAAATATCAAGATTTTGAGTTAGCTTGCATTGCTATAACTTTGTCATGTATTATACCAAGCTACGACTAATATCAAAATCTCGTCTTGTGCGGGTGCCTCAAATAATGTACCATACGGTATATTTAAAACAGAAAACCATTAGTACACTTTCATATATATATCATTCAAAAATGTAGCCTAAATTTACAGTCAAAAACATGTCAGGCATTATTATGACGCGCAAATACTATAGCTTTATTCTAAAATGTGGTTAGTCGTCAAGAATGCCTAAAAAATGTTTGTTAATTATTAATATCGGCAGTTAACATACGCTATCAACTTTGGACTTTATAATAAAGTTGAAATTGTAAATTTTTATCTCAAGTACCATCAAGTTGTTGCTAGCAGAATAAAATTGATTTTTACACAGACGCATGATGAGTACGATAGTATCATGTAGCAGTTCACTTTATAACTAATCAATGAAACCATAATTTATTTGCATATCTTCATTCTGAGCTTGTAATATTGTTCCGGCTAATGATTTCCAATGGACAAAGCATGACTATTAAATCACTGATCGGGAATATTTCAATTTCATTTCAAACGTAATATTTTTAAAACATTAAAGGAATTACAGCTATCAATCTCAAATCGTTACATATAATATTATTACAAAATCAGACACGTAGGAGGACATTATTTCTTCGTCAGACGCAGAATTATTTAAGGTTATGGATATTCTTGTATAATTCGGCCGGATCTTTTCAGTATAACATACTATGAAGTTTAATTTGGTTAGAGATTAGCATTTATCAGATTCCTTACTGGATGGTCGATATTTTCGCAGCTTCTCCTCCAATCTATATTAATATAATTAAGTGCAGATATACTAGTTGAGAAGGTGTACAGTAGTTTGCGCCCTTGGATAAATATCTCGCTACCAGGATTATGAATAATAGCTTATCGAAACATAGTATTAAGGTATTGTAAATTAAAATATTTCCTTTCTAACCTATTAATCCTATTTTCCATTGACTGTATTTTCTTTCTGCACTTATCGTAATTATCATAATAGCTTAGGATTTGACTATTTAATGCACTTTCCAAGCGATGAATTCGTTCCGCTTGAGCATATAAACTTTCGCTCATTACCATGACTCTCGATCTGGTAATTTCAACGTCTATCCTAATATTCATTACATAGCAAAATGAGTACATGTTAACATTTAGGTGTATTACTTTTTATATAGCTATAAATGGAGTTCATAGCAGTGTATTTATGTTTAATATAAATTTTAATTTTAATTGCTATCGATAGAATAAATATATATATAAACTATATGCACTAAATGATGGGAATTAATTTACTACTGTATATAGCAGTACGTTATAATGATCAATATAATTTTACGTACGCTAGGCGACGATTATCCTCCATTCCATCTGAATCAGGCATCTGCAAACTAAGATAATATTTAATAAGTTCATTTTATAAGTATTGATATTAACAGGTATGGTCTCAGTCATATGCAGTCATAAATTACTTAAAAATAAAACGGCGGATACTTGTTTATTACTTTATAGCAATGAAACCTGAAACATCACGAAATCTTTTAAATAGAAAGGTAAAAATTACTATCACGATGCAATCAGTCAAAGAAAATTGAATACTGCACCGCAATATCCTGAAACTATGACACTTTAACTTATTTATGATATACTCTACTATGGGTCCCGTATTACTAAATTAATTGTAATATGAAATATCGAGACAATACAAATTTGTCCAATCCATTATATAAATCTTATTTGCTCTCCTTAGTAAGTCCTCAAGTAATGGCAAGCGAGATATTACATTGCAAGTACAGATACTAACTTTCTCCTGTAATACTATTTCAGAAATCATAACGAATTAGAATATGACTTTAATGATGCTATAGAATCTGAAAGAAGTATGCACGATTAGTAATGGGAATCGTATAAGCAATAGTTAATAGAATTGATGCGGTAATCTGGCAACTCCGAGGGACAAGTAGATTGATTGAAACTATAGTAAATCATGGCTTTTTCACTTGGTAAGCCTGTAATATATGACGACAGATATTATGACGGTGGTCAAATCCCTAAAGTGATAAGCCTACAACTTCCGCTATCAAGTAGAAACCTTCATAGTTACAATAAGTATTGCTAAGTGATAAAACAACAGGTCCACTGTCCTCGCATTTATCCATCATAACGTATAAATTATTCTTAAAGTTGACAAGGCTTACGACTAACATATTACAATTAATTGGCAAATGAAAGCAATGTACTTGTAATTAACCTTTAACGCCAAGATCTTTAAATTAATCAATATAATATTATTAGATTACTCTAGGAATACTACACTCGTGTAGCGATGAATTCACATTAATCATTGAAACAGGTACTTTTCAAAAGTTAGCTTGCCCAATTAACGTCATGCCTTAGGAAATACTTTACGCTAATTCAATAAAAAATACTTGCTAGAGCTCCAATTTCACAAACTCTAATTTATCTATGGCAATTAATGATTATTCTGAAAAGCCTCAAACTTTAAAATGACTGCACGATGGTAAGTAAAGTACATACAACTAATGTAGTTGGCTTGAAAAGATACAGAAGTACACAAGTAAAATATTTGGTCACCAACCTGAAAACCTCAAAATCACTCGGCAACAAATAGCATCGAAGATAGTTCTACATAATGATGAAATACTTGATATTATTTATTACCATAATAAATGCCAATACTTGTCCCACTCCTAAGTAGCCATTTGTAGAAATGTTTACGTTCGAAACAAAAAGAGGACAATAACCTGAACTACCCTTTCACAATTAATCCTTAAGATCCAAAAGATTGTTTTAACCCATGATGGTTAAAAGTAAAATTACGAAATAGCTCACAGCTAGGCGAAAAAGAGACAAAGAACAGTCTAGCAATTGTTCAAAAGTATCAAATAGAAGGGTTAAAGCGGATCCACTGATGCGGTAAAATCAACATTGATTAAGCATGAATTTTCCCGACGAACATAACTTAAAGTAAAATCTATTCATTAGACTATTCAAGTTGAAAACAGATCATTAGCTAATCGATTACCGATACATTCATTTGGATCGTATTGAGTGTCTCAACCTATAATAACTAGCTATCCAAGATAATAAAAACGGATAGCCATGTATAATTGCTAATAGGGATGAATTTTACATTTAGGATAAATTAGTTCTATTCGAGTAACAATAAAAAATGAGACTTTCTATAATGATCTAGAATATCACGAGGCAATTCCTTTATGGATTCTGTTTATTATGTTCACGAGAATGACAATTAATATTGTATTAAAATAGACGATGTATTGCGGGAAAAACATATAATTCAATGGCAATAGAATTAACTGAAATCTAAAGTTTATCGCATGATACGCGTAGTTTGCACTTCTGACTGTTAAAGAATATTGTATTCCTAAAAGCTATGGTACTATAACAGAGAATAAAACACTTATTAATGTCATCCCTTAGTGTAACATTGATTTTTCTCCACTTTTAAGCTGAACTATTTCATTAGCGATCTAAATACTAATTTTTTTAACTTACTAATGGTTGCTATGAATGATTGGTTTTATCACATATCCGAATCTATCCTGTAGGAGGTACAAGGTGAATAAATTATTTTCACTCCTAGTGACCCCTGTTATTACTGATCTTTAATCTAAAATAGGAATTAGGTCTAGCAAATTAAATTAAATCTACACACGCACAATATTTGGTTACATGTATAATTGAAGATTTTGTCACATTTTTATGCGTCATTTGTATTTGTTACGACTATGTTACTAATAAATTTTGCAATAAAACGGTCTTATTTTTGACCATGTTACAAATATAGCGAGCACCAGTCTCAGTTAAAATTATTCCCCTCGAAGGTATCATATCATACAAAACACAACTTCATTCTTATTAAACCGTACAATTGAGGATAGTATCTATCCAATTATATCCGTATTGTGAAGAAGCAGTTAATTTCTTGAATGTTTTAAAATTTCTTGCTAAGGTTACTGCTTTTAATTTTTTGGAATTAATTTTGTATTCCTACGAAGCAGAATATTTCATTCTGCTTCATTATTAATACATACTCAACATCATCGAGGAAATATCAATTTATCGTTTATGGTGTATACCAAATATTATTACGAATATATCAAACAGGAATACTAAACCATGTTGAACGTAGAAAACTAAGGTAATAAAGCAAAAAAACTTGAATCTATCGCGAAATTGATACATTAAGACCTTAAATGACTGCCAATGTACAGTAAATTCTTACCTAATCGATTGTATTAATACCAACAGTGCAATTAAAAGCCGTCAAGCAACTGATGTAAAAATGGATACACTGAAAAAGAAATGGATTCATCATCAACCATAACACAAGAGAATAAACAGCCACAGTAAACGATCGCATCAACAACGGTGACTCTGATAATAGCCGTTATAATTTACTTTACCTTAATCAAGTGATAGCTGTATAATCAATTAATTATAATTATAATTTTCAGCAGTAGTAGTAACGTTTTACGTGAGATCAAGATGGTAAGATCACTTTCTCCTTTTAACCTTCTCTAGCTAGCAAAAGTTGACATATGAAGAATAGATTCACGCATAGCGTACTCCTAACTAACCTTATAAGGGTGGACTAATTAACAATTAATGGTATGGACAGAGTCAAATTAATAAAGAAAAAAAATAGAAATTGCATTAAAATGGACACAAAAGATTTTAAATTAAATAGACTTTGATGTAGAGCAAAATATGGGTTACCTAGTATACTTTGAAAGAAAACAATTTATTCAATTCTTGATGGCGCAAAGTTTACGTTACAACACCTTGAAAAGAAAAGAAAATATTCTGATGAAACAACCAATCATCATTATCCAAGATCATAAAGGAAAATAACGGAAGTTCATGTCATTTTTGTGTCAGAAAATACTGGGAAACAAACTCAAACTGAATAGTCTATCAATCATAAAATAGGCCCTGCTATCACTTCGTGAAAGAAATTGGAAGTAACCTGGCTGTTAACGTAACCATGTTTCTATTAAAATTCGACACGATAGAATCAATAAAAATACCAATACTTAAGACTGGAGATTGAATGAAATTGAGAACAAAGGGTAATAAATTAATGCTCTGATGTATTTAGTAAGTAATTCAATAATGGGAACTTTAATAAATTATTTTGTATTTTCTCTAAAGTGATGCTGTAATAATGCAGCATTCATGTTGCAGTGCCAGATTTTTTGACGGCATACCCATATTTGAAAGATCAATCGATACATTCATTAATAAAGCAATACATTAGAATCCATATCAGAATCTATTTTAATTCAGCATGTCCTCCAGAAAGTATGATGTAATAATGGAGTAGTTGTTCATATATTACAGAATCAAGTCGATCAGATATTATATTTGTTAGATTAATTAAGTTATATATGAACGTCAGGTCTGGCTTCATGCTACATTTTTTAAATGATTACTAACCTAATAGTGCAGTCCTTTCTTTAATTATAGGGCTAGTACAAATTGCCCTTTCTCTCGAAATTATGATGGAATAATACAGCAGTCATTCATATATTGTAGAATCAGGCCAATCAGATATTATATTGGTTAGATTAGTTGAATTATATCTGAGCACCAGGTCTAGCTTTGAATCTATGGTTTTTAAATGATTGGTAACCAAATAATGCAGCCTTTATGTGATAGCGCTAGTAAAATTACCCTTTTCTCTGAGATTATGATGTGGTAGTGCAGTAGGTATGTATTTGTTATAGAATCAAGTCAATCAGATTTTATATTTGTTAGATTATTTAAATTATATCTGAGCATCAGGTCTGGCTGTAATACTGCACTGTTTGAATGATTGGTAACCTTATAATGCAGCTCTTCCATTAATGTACTAGTTGAATTAGCTGTGATATTTGATGGACAGATTAGGATCGATTGAAAGAGAAATATCAATATTAATAAACTTGACTAGCTTGAACCTCAATTCAGCAATTTCTAGATGATTTGTTGTCTAATAATACGATCATTCTTAGTATGGCACTAGATCGATTAGATCCTACATTTCATATTGATGAGTTGAAAACCGAAAGTACATACCGTACTAGATCCTATAATGCAGATATTGTAATATAGCATTGGTCTGATAGACCAGCATACCAGAAATCTATGCGATGTCCGCTCCGTCTCCTACATATTGAAGGATAGAACTCGTTTACAAGATAATTCAATCTTGTTCATATCGAATGTCGTATGTCAGGATAGGGAAAGAAAACTCTATTAGATCAATCCTGTTGTTCTTAACTGAAAAAAAAGAAATATTTAGTCATTTTTTTAATATTTCGAAGTTGTTGATCATGAAATATAGCTACAAGTTATCGGTAAATTCGATCCATAGAATTTACTACTGAAATAGGACAACTTTGCACACATTCAGTACAGAATACTGATTAGATTAAATATTATGTAGTATAGGAATAATTGACAGTG